AATCTATGGTTGAATTTGATTCTCTGGCTGATAATGGGTTTGATTTTCGCTCCATTGTTAGAGCTCAAGGATGGGTGAAATACTTTGATAGATTGTTTGGACCAGTTTACCCTCTACTTGTGAAGGAATTCTGGATTCATGCATCTGTGTATCCCAAGTTTATTTTATCATCTGTGCTGGGAAAAGAGATTATCATCACAGAGGATCTGATAAGAAGATTGATTGGTTATGAAGAAACAGATGGTGTTTCCCACTTGCCAGCTGGGCGTGTGGATATGGAAGAGGTTTATGAGGAAGTTATGACTGCTGGACAAGCTTCTAACAGATTCAAAGATCTGAAGCCTGATTACAAGATCTGGGCCAAGATCTTCATGGGATGCATACATCACAGGAAGTCAACAAATTCCCCAGATTATGTCAACAATGAACAGATCTATTTTATGTACTGCCTTAGTCAGAGCAACAAGGTAGATCTTCCTTACATTCTGTTCATGCATCTGTGGAATCACATCAATGCATCTAGAGAATCTGTAAAAGAAAAAGGCCAGGAGATCAGGACTTGGATCCCTTTTGGAAGGTTGATTTCAGATCTTCTCACTGAAAATGGTTTAGTGGCTGCTCTGTATGATGCTGGGGTTACAGAGGAATTAGAGTTTATTATGGGAAAGCCTCTTAACGCTAAAAGTCTTTTGAGACTCAAGATTGTAGATGAACTCACTACTGCTCCAAAGAGGCTGAATATGTCTAATTTGAATAAGAGGGTTCCAGTATCTGACTTTCCTCTATTCTTTGCTGAAGAACCCAGACATATAGTACTGATGTATATAGAGGAATGCAAAAGGGAAGGAGTACCTGTTCCAGCAAATGTGTTTCAGCTTGTCAAACAACCACTACCAGATGCAGGAGAAGAAGAAGAAGTGCCACTTCAGAGGAAAAGGACTCAGCCTGCAGCAGAATCTGAACCTGTCCAGAAGAAGGCTAAGATTGCTGAGAAGCCAAAGAATCTCTTAAAGAGAAAGGACTCTGTAGAAGCTGCCTCTGCATCTGCCAAGAGGATTAAACTAAAAGGTACTAAGACTTCTGTTATTTCTAAAAACGTTGTTATTAATGATTCAACTATTAAGTCTATTCCCAAACCACCTGTTACTCAAACAACTTCTGTTGCTGCCCCTAGTTCTGTCTCACCTCAAAAACAAAACACTACTTCTGTATCTAAAACACCTCAACCCAAAATACACATCAAACACTTCATTCCACGTCCATCACCAACAGAACCATAACCAACAGAACCACAACCATCAGAGCTACAACAACCTTCTGATAAACAAAACTCTGATCAACCAAAAACTTCTAAACATCCAGAAAACCAAACCACAAAAGATCAACCAGAAAAAGACTCTGTCATACCACCATCAAACATTCCATCTTCTGAACCTGTTGCACCTGTTACTTCTGAACCCACAAAAGTAACTTCTGCTCCTGTTTCATCAGAACCACCATCCAAACAATCTGATACCCCTTCAAAACCTTCTCATATCCCTGAGACAGAAGTTCTTGATATCACTCCATTAAAAACAGTGTTTCAAGTCTCTTCTACCTCTTGTACACCTACTACATCCTCCAACTCATCAGAATCAGAAATTCATCCAGATTTTCTAATTTCTCCATCTGACAAATACCCTGTACATGAACCTGAACCTAAATCAACCTTACCTGCTAAAACTCCCATTTCAGACCCTTTGCCTCCACCTGCACCATCATCTGAGATGATTGTTCCCACTTCTAATCCATCATCATCTGGTATATCTTGTGCCCAAGTGTCTTCTCTTTATCATAATTTATCTTATGGTTTCAAACTGAAAGATTTTTATGATAGAGTTGAACCTTCTGAACCCCTGAAACCTCTGAAACCAAAACTCAGACAGGCTCTTCCATCTGTAATCCTTTCATATATTAAATCTATGAACAATGAAGGATCCTTAGCAACAATATCTGCTACATCTGGTAAAGCTGTTGTTTCAGCTCTGCAACCTGCATCTGATAACACAGTTGCATCTGATAAACCATCAACCTCCGCTTTCATACCATACTCTAATGAACCCTTTGATATTGTTTACCCACGCACAAGACCACAACCTAATCTGCTTAATGCTTTAAACAGATCCTTACCTCAAAAACCAGAAATTCCTTTCATTCCATATTATCCCCCTCCTCTGATTTCCATCCCAAAATCACTGATACCACCAACTCCCAAACCTAAACATATGACTCTGGAAACCTTGCTTAAACCACCACCCAGACTTAATATTGATCATTTATTTCAAACGTTTTTGCAAGAAATACAGATGTCTTTAGGTACTGTTCAGAAGAGATGCTCTGAAACTATGGATGCAAATGAAACTGACATCATCTGGAAAGGATTTATCAATAGATTCAACACTGTAGCTTCCAATCTGAAGAACGTCTATTCTGATGATGCAAAGCTCAGAGCTGAAAGAACTCAATTCTGGATTGTCAACAAGACTGAACCTCTGCTTTGTTTGGATGCTCCTCCTCCTCCACCAGAACCAACTGCCAATGCATTGACTATGACTCTGGTAGAACCCTCTTCAGGATCTCCAGAACCTATGGCAATTGACTCTGTTCAGGTTGCAGGACCTCCACCTTCTTCATCAGAGATAAAGACAGAAAATCCAGATTTTGGAGACAAGATTGTTGCTCTGGAGGCTAATCAATCTGAAATAAAATCTTGGATGGCGAAGCAAGACAAGAAATCTGAGGACATGACAGAGTGGATGTAAAAACAAGATGAGAAGAATGAGACAATGACTAAGTGGATGTCAAAGCAAGAGCAATCTTCATCTGAGATTACAGACCTATTGAAGATGCTTTTGTCAAAACACCCTTAGATTTTTTTTCATTCTAATGTTTGTGCATCTGTTGTTTTGCATCTGAATTTTATTGTTATATCTTCTGATATTTACCAATGTACTATTGCTCTGTTTTGTTAAATGAATCAGTTTTTCTCCATTGAATTATCTATTTATTGTTCCTTTTATTTGTCTTTATTAAAAGTTTTTACTTTTTGCTTATGACAAAAAAGGGGGAGAAAATAAAGATCTGAACTGTTTAATATAACTTCACTGGAATGAATCTTCAGACATATCTATTCTATTTAATATTTAAATTGACCATTTCAGAACATTTGATAAGAACACTCTATAAAAGAATCTCTGAGTTTCTCATATCATTTGCTTTTTTGTCAAACTCTGATTCTTATATCTGCAAGATATTCTGACCCTAAATTATTACAAAGACAAACAAGATCTGACTCTGAAGATTACTCAAGAAAAAAAAAGGGAAGTTTCTATTCCTTTTTCTTATTTAACTCAGGGGGAGATTCATCATCTCAGGGGGAGTTATAATTCTTTATGTTCAGTTAAATAAAATTTCTGATACTTTTTGTCATCATCAAAAAGGGGGAGATTGTTAGAACACAGATTGGTTCTTAATAATAACTCTTTGTTTTGATGATAACTGTTAGGAAATTTATATTTAAGAATTATATACTCTAAAATTTGTTTGAGAGTTTTACTGCAAATTGAAATAATATTAACTCTCTAGAAGCAAATCTGTTCTGAATACAAGAAGTTATTTTGACTCTGAAGCGCCAGATGCACCTTACAGAAGAATCTGATTGCTCCTTACAGAAGATCCTGAGCGTAGTCTCCAGAAGGATCCGAAGCAAGAAGCTCCAGAACATTCTGAGTCAGAAGCATCTGAAGATAATCAGAAGCATCTGAAGCTGAAGCATCTGAAGCATAGAAGAATATTGATTGAAGAGTTTCTCAAAGCATTTATCTACAGAAGTTTCTGAAAGTACCAACGCTGCCAAGTACTGAAGTTCTGTGTCAAAAATGCTCTGATGATCAACACGCTGTAAGCACACCTGCTGCAGAAGACTCTGATACAGCATAGTTCTGAATCTCATTAGAAGACTCTGATCCATTCAGACTCTGAAGAACTTGCTGAAAACTGAAGAAGAAATATTCAAGAATATATCCGTTGGAGCTATTCAACGTCTCTTTCCTCATTTGTGCTAGACACACTTACACAGACAAAAAGGATTTTTCTGTGCCATCTACTTCTAGGAAAGGTCACTTGATGTGAAGACAAAAAGGCTCAGACCTTTTTGGGACTCTCTTTTCAACGCTCAGCTTGCATGGATCAGCTGCCTATAAAAGGAGAACTTCACCACATTCTTCAGTTACACACTTTGCTGAAAAGAAATCATTATATTCTAAAGCTCTCATTCATTCTTATTCTTCTTAGAATCTCATTGTACTTAAACTTAAGAGAAAAATCACTGTTGTGATAAAAGCTTTATAGAAGCATTAATACTCTTGTATTTAATTTGCATTGATTGTAAAGGATATTCCTTAAGAGGATTCAGTTAGAATCAGTAGCTCTTGAGAAGACTAAGAACTGTTGTTCTTAGGTGATACTATTGTAATCAGTTTGATTTAATAGTGGATTAAGTCCTTGTTGAGAAAGGCAAATCACTCTAGGAAGGGTGGACTGGAGTAGTTGTTAAACGAACCAGGATAAAAATAATTGTGTGATTATTTTTTAAGTCTTAATTTATCATACTTATTCAACCCCCCCCCCCCTTCTAAGTATTATCTCACCTTCACCAAAGAGCTTCATTCCTTCTTTAGAAACTCCATAAATTATGGATTCTTAATCCAACCATTCTTAAACCTAAACAGCTTTGGGCCCCAGTTAACACAACTAGATTTCAACCAAACAGGGCAGTGATCAGAGATGTGTCTCTTACCGAAAATTTGACCAACAATGTTCCAATACGCAAGAAACTTTTCAGAGATAAGGAAACAATTGAGTCTACTCATTGCTGAACCATCTCCACTAAACCATGTATAGATCCCTCATATATAGGGGACATCAATACAATCTAAATCATCAATGAATTTACAGAAATTCTACATCTCTGTTCTACGACCACTAACACTAACTCTTTTCCTCTCATTATCTCTCAAAACCGCATTAAAATCTCCACTCACAATCCAGCAACCTCTGTTAAGCCTAGACTTCATGCCCATGAGATCACTCCAAAACTTCCTCTTCAAAGCAGACAATCAAGGAGAATAGACATTAACGAAGAAAATGTCTTGGCCCTTCTAAACAACATTGATGCCCACAAACCCAACTCCCCTAAAGCTGAAATTGAGATTGAGAATACCCTTTCTCCACAAAATAATGATACCCCCCGAAGCTCCACATGCTCCAGATTCTGAGCATTCCACATTAGGATCTCCCCATAACGAAGACGTCATCTCCAAGTTAACAGCAACTAACTTCGATTCTTGCACAAAACAAATATCAACCTTGCCTGACTGAATCAAATGAGCAAGTCTCCTTCTTTTAACCACACTGCTACCCCCTCTTAAATTAATGGAAAGAATATTCATTGAACAATATTTGATTTAGTCACCTTCTTTTTTGCTTCTTCTTTATCTCTTAATTTCAAAAATCTGATATCTTCCTCTAGAATATCATTACTACCACCTCCAGTGACTCCAAGAGAAGAAATTATCTCCCTAATTATCACTGATACATTTGAATCAAATTCTACCCAAAATCTCTTGTTCCTCTGGATGACTTCACAATCTGTAACCGAGTGACATCTAGAAACTGAATCAATTGATATAAAGACCTTCACCTTCTTCTTCTTCTTCTTCGACTGAAAATGACTCGCTCCACTATTACAACTAGATTTAGAAAGAGAAGAATACCTTTGAATCTAAATTCTCCTAGATGAGGAAGAATTAAGCAAAGAAACACCTTCCACAACAACACCTGGTTTGGGACAAAGGGAACAAGCTACAAAGGACCCTAAACTCATAGGAGTCAACAACTACTCAGAGGAATGATTATAAGAGATTTTTCCCTTTTGCTTCAAATTTATTTTCTTACGGCTCATACTAATAACCGGTTCTTGGGCCGAATGGGCCTTAAGAAGGTTACCAAACACCAGACAAGAACTCTGGCCCACTACCTTATTAACATCACCAATGGGACCCGAGTCAAAAGGTTCTAACTCTTGTTGAGGCATAACGTCTCTGTCATCTGATCTATTAGCAGGTGGCACGTCAACATCAACAAAGTCATCTAAAAACTTAGGACAATTGACTCTAGAGACCTCATTATCATAACCTATGACCAGCTGAACGCACCTTTTACCCAAAGCAATAGAAAATACCTTTTTGGTGAAGGTTATTTCGCTTTGAAAGTTACTTCGTTAGGCGCTAATCTTTGTCTTCTTGAAGAAGATGAGGAAGGTGAATTGGAAGCTCTGGTTGAGAGGGCTCCTGGATGATTGAGTCAATGATTTTCTAAAGTGATAAAGTCGAGGGCAGAAGATGTAGATTTGGAAAGGTTAACTTGGTTACGTTGTTACGGTATTCCTAGTCATGCTTGGAACGTGGTGCTCTTCGAACGACTTTCTTCCATTGTTGGGAAGTACGTTTATTGCGAAGATTCTACTTCTAATTTTTCAAGAATGGATGTTGCAAGTATAATGATGAGATGATAATTATCTGTGGGATGCTAATCAACAAAGTCATTAATTAATTTTATAAAGTGTTGAAGTTTAATTGACTGATTACTTGGTGGTTGGACAAATTAACTAGTTAAGTTTACAAGTTTGTTAGTTAAGTCTATGTTAGACTAGTCTACAAATTTGTTAGTTAAGTCTATGTTAGTTGGATAGTTAGATTTTCTATTATGTAAAATCAAGTTAGTTCATTTCGCTGATTACTTGGTGGACAAGTTACTTAGTTAAATCTACAAGTTATTCACTCCATTCTTTTTTAAGTGCTTTTTTTTATTACACTTTACACCTATAAAAATGCTAATAAATTTAAAAAAAAACTAATAAGTTGTATTACTTTTTTTAAAATTAATTGGCCTTTTACCTATAATATCATTAAATATATATTCATTTATATGACTTTTACTATTTTTTATGTAATAAATAACTAAAGAATTATAATCTTAAGGCTATTTTTATCAAAATTAAAAAAAAATCAACATCAAATAAATTACATATTTTAGCTCATCAATAAAATAAAAAGAATTAGTAATTACTTTTTACTACTTTAATATATACCGCGCACTTGCAGCGTATTATCAAAGAATTTTGTTCATATTATATCATTTTTATTTGAAATGGCATATAAGGTGAAGATTTACTTAAGTTTTTCACCGTTAAAACCCCAAATATATACCGTTAGATTTGATCAAAGATTTAGAACTAATAGAATTAAAAATGGGAACATTTGCATAGTTCCACATACAAGTTTGGATTTGGATCCTCTCCTTTTTTATATATCCGGTCATCTCTCATGTTTCTAATCTAACGGTTCAGAATTTATAATGAATAATTAAATAATAAAAGTCATTTAAAAAAGTCAAATTACTTATCCATTTCTCTCTCCTATTAAATGACTTTTTTATTTAATTATTCATTATAAATTCTGAATCGTTAGATTAGAAACATGAGAGATGGCAGAATATATAAAAAAGGAGAGGATCCAAATCTTACAATCTTATACCACTGAAATTAAATTCAATAAATTGTTTTTCTCCTTTTATCAATTATACGCAATCTTCTCCAAGTTAAGCAAAACAAATCAAACAGAAACAAAAATTTATAGAAATATTGAATATGTTACTAAGAGTTTAAAAAGATTTTTTTTTTGGAAAATACATATTTTAAATCCATTAGAAATTGAAATAATTGATTTTTCAAATTGAGATAATTGAATTTTCTAAAAAATGTTTCTTTTATTTGAAGTTCTTAAAAATTTCTTTTGAGCACTCGTTAATATGACCCCAAAAATTATTGAGTTCTATAAATATTTCTATTTTAAATTCTAATAAATCTTTAAATTGTTTATTAAATTTAACATTCTACTTGTCAAAATGTACATGATGCATTATTATTTAATTAAATATTTAATATTTGCTTAAGTTGGAGAAGATTGATAAAAGGACAAAAACAATTTATTAAATTTAATTACTGTATTAAAAAATTGAGTTTATCTCTCACTTTTATATCCGACCTCACTATATCTAAAATTCATCGGATTCTATGATCGAAATTCTACTTGTGCTCTCTGATTGATCTACATTGCGAGTCCATTAGTGTTTTACAGCTTTTTCAAAGTCGTAAATATTTTTGTTTTACAATAAAAATTGATTTATCCTCAAGACCACAAACTTTAAAGAAGTCATTAAAACACCTATGACAAGTTTATGTGACTCAGAATAAACTCAAAACACTTCACAGTTACAGACCTCGTGCTTTGGGGGTTTGTGTATACCCCGAGATTTTTATGAAGTCGAGTAGCGAGTTCCACGCACATCTCAAATTCAATTTAAACGGACCTTGAAAGGACTGCCCAAGTCGGAGTCATTATGGCATTCAAAGGGATGAGTCTGTTACAGAACGGTTAATAATAAGTCTGCTACAAAATAATTAATAAGGAGTCGGTTACAAATGGTTAATAGTTATTAATTAACTATTTAATCAACACCTCTTTAATATTCAGAGGAGAAGAAAACTGACAATATAATGACCTCACAGCCAACACAAAAAAGAGGAAAATGAATAACACAAAATGGAAAAATATATGTGAAAATATTAGACAACCAACAATAACGGCCATCGATTCTATCTAACTTACCTCTTTTAAGATAGTATAATTATGATCCTTTGTAATCCTATCTAATTTCTCTAAATAATATTTTGTAAGAAGAGTATTAATTTCTTTAAAAACTGAATTCTTATTACAAAATAGTGAACATAAATATATATATTATATTCTAGGTAAAGAATCGTAATCCTAAAAAAGATTCAGTTTATCAAGATTATAAAAAAAATTCTGAATTATCACATCAATTAAACTACATCTTTTATCTAATCAACAAGTTACAAGTACTTCCTATGAAATCATATTTTACTACTTTAATATAAACCAGGTGCGCTTGCAGGCATATCATTTTCATTTGATATTGAAAGAGTTCATATTTAAGACAGCTCAGATTTTGCCATAGGTTATACAAGAAAGTTTCAATAATAAATTAAAGAATTGTTGAATGAATTACATGTGTTGCAAATAAAATTGTTCAAAGGCATAGAAGAGTCCAAGTCACTTTACTCCAACAAACGGAAGAAGAGTCTTACTACAGGTTAAGTAATTTTTGAAATATAAGTCATCGTGGCAGAGTCCTTATTGTAGTTGAATTCTTCAAATAAAAAACACAATTAAGAAAGCGTTCTAATTGGCTGTTTAATTGACTTTAACAGCAAATCTTATGACCAACTCATTCACATGATATGATTCCATACAAAGTCGGCATAATTGTTTCTCAAAGCTCCACCTGTCCACGTTATATGTGGACCCCACGCTCTTCCACAATCTTATAAATACTCCTATACGCCCCTACCATCAATGCACAACGTACACAATTTGTTACAAAATATAACTACTTTTTCATTCAAAAATTTCAGTTTTTTTCATTTTCAAATTACTCTAAAATTTCCGCAGTTTCGCAATGGCATCATCATCTTCTGCAATGAAGTTCTTCTCCTTCCTTTTTGTCTTTATCTTTGCCGCCGCCGCCGCCTCAGCACAAGATCTCAGTCCCTCGTTGTCTCCAGCTCCAGGTCCTGATGCCGGAGCTGCCGGATCTGTTACAAATTCAGTTGCTATGATCGGAGGGCTGATCATCCTGTCAATGCTCGCCATCTTCAAACATTGAGAAACAGTAGTGCTTGTTATTTTACCGTAGAGCTTATTATTGTTACGAGTTGATTTATGTATATTTGAGAGCGTGAGAAATTTTTATACTTTTTATATTTTTTATATTTCATTATTTATTGTAGGTGTTATGGAAAATAAATAGTGTTTTTATCATTTGAATATCTTTGATTACTTTTCTTTTATTTATATTTATTGTTTTACCGTGTAGTGATTTATATATATTTATATTTATTATTATACACTTGTAATGTTAATATTATAATTATATTGTACTTATATTCATTTTTGTGTTTAATATTTTCTTTATGTGATTTAATGTTTTTCTTTGTTTGTTACATCAATTTTCCCCTGTGTTTTTTTTTCTTTTTAATAGATTTTTCGGATGAGCTTAAAGACGCAAATGTTAATTCAGGTTTCATTGGTGTCCTTTTGCTCCCTTTCTGTGAAGGATAATTTGGCCTTGAATGCTCCTTTCTTGCTTTAGGAATTTAATGGGATTCAATTCAGGAAAATAGAAGCCAATCGGTAGCACGTCTCTATCAAATAGAATTAATTTGAGATTAATGTTAAATTAACTATAATATAAGTCGTATGGTTAATTATCTAGAACAAATTTCTTAGCCAAATTCCAACTAATATTT